GAGATGCCCTCGATGAGCACAAAACCAAGGTTCCTGGAAAAAGGTGAAAACATCCTGAGAAAGCAAGAGTTGGTAACTGCCATTGGCTCTTCTAACTGCAAGAACAGGAAAAGTCCTGAAAAATAAACACTGGTCTGAGAGAACAGAAATCATCACCTGCAGGCTGCTCCAGGTCAAACCCAGAAATTCAAAGCACCTACTGGCTGCTCGAAATGGTGGTGTCCTGCACCCTCTTATGTCTCTATGACTGCCTGTTCCCTTGTTCCCTCACAGAAGCCACGTCTGGGGCCTGTCTTGCTTTGTCCTCCCACCTTTGGAATGGTTGGCTCCCTTCCCAGATCTGTGGAATGTGCTTGGCACACCTAGATACATAAGGTAACCTATTGTATCTGCTGCTACATGATTGGTTTTCTTCACTAGTAATAACTTTGTTGTAACCTGTAATATATATATATGTACATATACACACACATTTCATTGCTGCTATTACCAAGTTGTATTGTTGCTGCTATAATCCATTGTTGCTATAATTAACTGCTCCTATATTACAGATTGCTGCTCTACTATCACTTGCAGATTCTACTTTATAATAGCTTGATATACATACATATATATATTTGCTTTCTTCATCATAGCTATACTTGCTAATGGTGGTATTTGTGTGGTATGTGTGGGCAACTGTAGGAACGAAAATTTAGAGGATAAAGCCTCAAAGCCTCAATGCCCTTGTGTATTACAAACCCCTGTGAACCCATGGCCACAATCTTGCCTGTGGGCCAGGCAACCCTTTAAATCATGATACCATGTTACACCTTGAAGTGCCCCAACCCCAGCTCTAACACACAGGATGCAAAATAGCCAGAAAAGAATAAGGAACAACACGCACAGAATTCTCTAATATCAAAATATAGCAATTTATTCAAGACACTGAATATGATCTGTTGATTCTCTCCTTAAAACAAATGAGCTACAATACACAAGGTGAATTTGAAGAAAGTGTGGGTGGGGAGAAACAAAATAAGGGTGGATGTTGTTTCAACAGAACCTGGGAAATGCTGAAATGAGAACCAAGTCTGGCTGCAAGTCTGACACAGACAATAAAAACTGCAGAAGCCAGAATTCAGAATTTCAGTGAGTGGCTGAAAGAACATTTCTGCAATTGACAAAGAACCACATCTTTTAAAAAGGCAAAAGGAGGAAAAAAAGGAGGAAAAATTAAAAAGGGGGAAAGAAAAAGAAACCCAAAAACAAAGCAGACCCTTACATTTGACAAAGTGCACTTCACTTGGCTCTAAAATTAGTTATTTTTTTCTTTTTCTTTTTTTTTTTTAAACAAATTAAAAGGAAGTTTCTAAGATGTAGCATGGGGTTAATGTGTGTATAACCCTGTAAGTCAGGCCCTTTAGTGCCCCATAAGGGACCCAGTGTTTTCTACATAAAAGATTCAGTATCCTTCTAACCCACAGAGTTGTGTGGTTTTTCAGTGACGTTTTTTCACTTCCAGACCAGTTCCAGACAGCCAGCAATGACAAACACCCAGTAAGTCCTTGGATAGCTTCAGAATCCTGTTTGGTCAGTTCAGTTTCTCAATTTCTCTTCTGTTACAAAGAACTAGAGAGAAAATCACCAAAATATTGCATGAAAAAGATGACGTCCACCAGCCCGTTGCTTCCTGTTGTTCTGTCATGGGGGAGCCAGGAGATGCCGCAGTGGAGGAAAGTGACAGCTCCCACGAGGGCAGTTCTGTGGGTGTAGGCTTAGATATCCACATTGAAGTACAGCCTGGAAAAGCCTCTCTCCCACTGCCCACCTCCTAAAGAAACCAGCTCCTTAGGCTAGAATTAACTTTCGCAGCTACATCTTCAGCCTTCCTTAACAGATTCCCTCACTTCAGCTGAAAACTCTCTACTACAGCATCTCTGAGGATTATCCCGTCTTTACGGTCGTGGGGAGGGGAAGAAAGGTGAATTTCCCGAGCTTCTCACATAGGCTGCTTTCAAATCTGATGGCCTGTACAGAAAACCCTCTGGACCAGCAGCTTCTCTCGTATGTGGGCTTTGCAAACCAAATATTTCAAATTCTTTTTTCTCTTGGCTTTTTACCTCCATGTAGGCAGGCAGAGGAAAGGAAACACGGAAAATGAAAAAGAAACAGGCATCACGGACACTGCTGAGTTATCTGCAGCAGCCACTCCAGGAACGACCATGGAACGCAGTCTCTGTAGCCAGCCAGCCACACGGTGTCGTTGAGCTCGGACTGAGCAACCTCATCTCTTCAAATCCTGAGGTCTGGCCTGCTCAGTCGTTGCTCAAGGGACAGAGGCAAGGCCAGGGCCCATCCGCGCTGCCCTCTGCTGCCTGCAGACCGGGAGCTTCTGTGTGTTACTCTCCGAAATGCCACCAAAAGCAGCTTAGGAACTTAACCACGTACACACAATGACTGTAATCAAACCATTGACCCAACCATGCTTTATAAAACCACATTACACCTTTGTGTTCAAATTCAAGTCTCTCTTTGAACAAGGAGTCTTTTTTTTAAGTAGTGACTTTAAATCAGTAGGTACACATGGTTACTATAAACCAGTACAAAACTGCCACATGATCAGCTACAGCCCATGTTCTTGGAGCAGAAAATTAAAACCGACACATAAATGCATTTAACTCCAAAAATAATCCTTGATGCCTTCCAGGGTCCAGTTCTTTGATATAAATTACAAACAAGCCTGTCATTAATAACCAAATTCCCATGTAACTGTTTTCACCTCAGGATAGAGTAACCTTTCTAACAGTTATTTCTTTTCATTCTTGTCTCCTTTTCAAATATACCTCTAGGAAATGCAGCTGCAGCTGTCAGTGGCTAGTTCTACTGGAAGGACTAAGATACGGTACAGATGCAAGCATTAAGAAAGGAAAACACAGGAGAAGAAATGCCGTACAGGTTCCATGATGATGCCATGGTTCTTGGCAGGTCTTATACCACCAGTTCAGCCCTAGGGCTCTGGTTTTATGTCTGTTGTTCAGACCACATCACCACTTCAACAGCTGTGGTCAGATCAAAGGGAAGATCCTGTGTTACGGAAGTAGTGACTTTGGGCAGGAAGGTACTACATGATGTTAAGGGCATTCTCTGCTCACTTGTTTTTCTCTCTTCTACAAATCCTAGCCTAGTCTGGGGGCTAAAGAAGACTCCTGCTTCGCTTGGCCAGTTTTGAGGATTTGTCCAAGTAACGGCTGCCACCGCCCCAAATTGCTTTATAGCTTACAGCATCTTCTGTACACTCTGCCTGTGCATCCTTCTTGGCATCCAGTGTTTGCTCTTCGAGTAATGCAGTTTTCAGCAGGCATCGCTGCCATGTCTAGCTTGCAGTAAGGAAATCTTGTCCGAAGTGAATAGGTGGTGCTTTGGAAATCTTTCTCGCCATTCCGATCATTTCACCCACTATAATTTCAAGTGATATATATGTTGAGATAGAATTTAGATATCCTTTATCATGTCCCCACCTAATGGAGAGTCCTATGTTGTCTTCTGAGCACCACACTGAGGACACTCTCAAGGCTGAATCTGTCTGGGCATACAGTGAGCAGAAAGGTGAGAAAAGCGCAGATGCAGAGCTTTCCTTGTAGCACAGAGCACAGGCACAACTGAGGGTGAGGGCAGCACCACATATGGTCAGATGCAGTGCAAAAGCCTGCTTCTACGTGTGTGCTGACCATGGATGGACAGGAGCTTGGCAAGAGTCCATTTTTCAGCTGTGACAGATGCAGTCAATATATCTTGGCTCAACTGATCTCTTTTAAGTCAGTGGTAAAATCCCACTGACTTACTGGAATAGAAAAAGCTGAGTAGGATGAACAGTGGAGGACAGCATTGCTGAGCAAGGCCATGAGCAGACAATTCCATGTTCTGTATGAAATTTGAGCTATCTCTGCAGGAAAGAAGATACACAAACATTTTCCCCTGGTTACTGAGGATAAATGAAAGCATGGACTCAAGAAAACGAATGCTGTATTTATAGTCTCAAACTTACGGATCCCTTTTAATGAGTGTACATCATCAAACAGTCACAAAAATGAAATGAGACTGTATATAATGGCTGGCTGCTGGAAGAGGACTCTTAGTAAATGACTGGCATTTATTGTATCAAATGGCATTTTTTCTTAGAGCACTTTCTGAGAGAGAAGAGAAAAAGGATACTGCACCTTTCATGTTTCTTGGACTGTGTCATTCTTTTTGCTTGAATTACACAACTGGTCTACATTTGGTGGCCATTTTAGGCTTTTAAAACTGTTTAACATAAAAAATATTTTTTTTCCAAAAATACACTGGGTTCTTTCTGTTAAAAGTCATCTTTCTCCTGTAAAAATCTTCCCCAACACTGCATTCTTATATAAAGCACTTATTACACAATTTGCTGAAAGTGCCCTTGAGACGCTAAGATCTGAAGCATGGAGGATTTGTTTTTCTTTTAAATGGAGAGAAAGAAAGGGAAAGGAAGAGAGAAGAGAGGAGAAGCAGTCTGTCAAAAATTTCCGTTGTCATGTCCACCTGGCTGCATCTACTATGGGCATACAGGGAAAAAAGAACAAAAAAACCAACAAAAGGGTAAGAAGAAAGAGGAGAAAAAAAGGAAGGAGAAGTTGGGAGTGGAAGGGAGAAATAAAAGGAAAATGAAAGTTTCATCCTAAGCCTGGGATCCTCCAGGCTGCAATATTCCAGCTGATAGAAAAAACCACTGAACAAAAAAAGTAGTCTAGAAAATAGAAAGTGTTGTGATTACAAAGTTGAGCATTTCATCAGTACAAACTGGTCTTTGAACGTCCTTTGGGAGAGCAACTGTAGTGTCCAAATTGGAAGGAAAAAATACAACACCGCATGGAGGAGGATTTTTTTTCCCTTTTGGTTTATCACAGCATTTTTCTTTTTTTTTTTTTTTTTTTTTTTTTTTTTTTATTTTTTTTTGACATACATCCCACTATCAGAGGAAACTCAAATACAATTTTTTAATTTTTTTTTTTTTTTTTTTTCCCAGCCATCAGAGCAAGTTCTCAGACGCAAACCAAACAGTGCAATGCCTAGCTGGTGGCTTCATGCTTCCAAGGCTCAATGTTCCAGGTGGAAACCATTCCCTCCCCCTCTGAAGTGACTGCGTTTTTACTCCTTGATGAAGGTTACGGACAAAATACTAGACACCTGTGGCCAGGGAGAGTTGGTTTCACGGTACACTCTAACTTTGTTCAAGTTCGTACAGTTCTGGAGCTGTTAAGAATAGTTTTGAAGAGTGCTTCTCCCCACACATTCACTGCTGGTCCATTTGAAATTTCTTCTAAAACATTTCACTTTTACTTCCGCAGATCTAGAACACAAACCTGGAGAGAAAAGACTCAGCATTAAGAACATTTCTGAAGGTGATGTGGAAGTCCTGTTCATACGCAGCCCTGTACAGAGCTGATCAGTATGTTACACTCACCAGCTTCAAATCAGCCTGTATTGGGTACCTGTTTGCATGCACACAAAGTAAGGGAACAAACCAACACAGAAGAAAACCCAAGTGAAAACCGTACATTGGACATTTAGCTGGGCTTTCACTGGATTACAAGCAAACATTTTGGTGGCACATCCCAGATAAGACTATGGGCTCTTTTTGGTTGCCAAAATACAGCATCCACTTCCATTTCTGAAATATATCCAAAGTAGATGCAGGCCTGGCAGGCATAACACAGGACTGAGAGTGGACACGCGACCACCTGCAGCAGCTGTTGGAAGCCAAGCATGGCACCATCTCAGATGACAGGACTAAGCTCAAGCAACTGAACCATGTCATAGGTATATCCTTCGTTAAAACCAGCCAAAAAGTACTGCTTTAAAGTAGTTAAGCCAGGCAGCCATCTACAAGAGTTATTTTAAAAGGCTTTAGAGTGTGTGATAACATCTGTGCATTGCCCAGAGAAGCTGTGGCTGCCCCATCCCTGGCAGTGTTCAAGGCCAGGTTGGACACAGGGGCTTGGAGCAACCTGGTCGAGCGTAAGGGTGTCCCTGCCTGTGGCAGGGGGATTGGAACTAGATGGCTTTAAGGCCCTTCCAACCCAAACCATTTTATGAGTCTGTGATTCACAAGCTGATCCTACTACAACTGAAATTTTTTAAAAGTAACGTTAACAAGAAAAATAGTAATGAATAATCAGTATCTGTCTCTATTGCAATATTTTTCCTTTACCATGAAATCTTTGGGCATCATGCTGAAAAAGTCTTCCTTTAGGTACTATTCAAAGGTAAACTTCTGTGGGATAAAACTCTGAAAGCCCCAGGATAACTGTTTATTAGACAGCGGACCGCTGTGATCTCAGCTTCATTAAAAAAATTGACAGATGAGATAAGTAATGATATAAACAACACTACTGTTGTTCTTATCAAATATGTATTTAAAACTCATTCCCATCTTCAGCAACATTCGCCTATTCCATAAACATCCTTCATTCACCACCTGCTCCCTTCAAAACAGGAGCATTTTTAATATACTTCACAGAGCTACTTATTTATGTCTTGAGCTGCCTACACCTTCATCTCTGTCCACAGGAGTTAGTACGGCATGTATATTTCTTGTTGATGCTCTCCAGAAGAGTGATCTCCACCCAACATTTACAATGTGTAAAGCTCCTTACCGATCCGTCTGATGCGCTTGCTCCCACTTTGTCTCCTCTAGCATTCCAGCAGACTTCAAAGATGCCCCCGGTGCCTCGGTAGCTATGTACTAGAGTTCCACTCTACAAAGCAAAACAGTATGCAAACATTTGATATGGAAGTTCACCTCTTTTTCTGTCATTTGGCACTATATTAAAAAGAAGAGAGTAGTGGCAAAAAGAAGCTATCACATCACCCAGCTATGGTCATCTCCCTAAGGTGCCCATGTTAGGAAACCGGTTGTTGACAATGAAAAGAAAGGCTCCTCCAGAAAGCAATTTACAGTAGGATTCTCAGATGTCTGGTTTTGTCAACTCTGTAACAGTAAAGGCCTGGGGAGTTAGGCTGAGGTGATCTTCCCTAAAATTTATTGTTAATTCAGGCTGTGAAGCATCAGTATAGATAATTAAATCTGTGGAATTATGATGTCCCACATTTCCCCAGAATATCCCCAATCCCCAGCCTGTACACCCTTTGTATCTATCATCCCCTCATCACAAAGTATACGCTAGGTGCATCAGACTCGCAACTGAACTCAGCTTGTTACTGAATAAAAGTATTCCTTATGTCTAAGAATCTGTCCATGTCTTTGCTTCACAAAGCTGATGGCACATCATAACACACCTACTTCCCTGTAGGCTAGGTGTTTTAGCACACAGAGAAGCCTGAGCAGAAACATTCTGGGCAGTCACCTCACTCCACCTGAGTGGCTCTGCTGTTACCCTGGGATTTGTATCAGCCAATATGACGAGGTTCACCTTGGCTGGCAGGCCATATGCCACAGAGGTACACATACTTTCCGTTTAAGCTTTTGCTATTAATGTGTCATTTGAACCAGACGTACTTCACATGAAGCAAAACAGTACCTGAGTATTCCATATATGGACACATTTGTCAAAGGACCCACTGGCTAGATATTTTCCATCAGGACTAAAAGCTACACTGTAGACCGGCTCTTGATGTTTTGTTAATGTGTGGATGCAGACTCCTCGGTCAACGTCCCACAGCCGAACAGTGGAATCAAACGAAGCACTGCAAGAAGCATTCAAACACAAACATGTCTTAATTTGGGTATTTATCAATTAGTAGTTGGACACTGTAAACTGCACAGAATAACACTGTTGCTTGTTTGTTTTTTCCTTGGCTAAGCAATAAACAACATTTCAAACAGAAAAGCCAACAGGCACTACAGCCTTTACGGCTTTTATGACAAGAACTGCATCTACAGAACTGAATTCTTGTATGAAGACCCCTTGAGTCTACATAGGTATGCTGTATATAGGGTCACATCACTAGCCCCCAGAGGGCCAAGCTCCCTCCTTTTGAGATTCTACCTGCTGTTATTCAGGAAGATCAAATATATATTGTCATTAATAGGATAAATGGTTCCAGAAAGATCTTATTCCTAATGGATTTGCATTATTTAATGAATTAGCATTGTGTAATTCCCTAGGACTGTGATTCTTTTTACTTTGTTTCAGTGCTGGTTTTTGCTACACTCCATCTAAATCCCAAATTGTGGGCTTAGAGAAAGGCAAAGGAAATAATTGGTATTAAAAATGATAATAAAAGAACAGCTCTAAGAAAGTGAAGTTCTTCCCTGTCTACTCCCACTCTAAGGGTTAAAACTCCTCCCCAAACTGCATTCACCATGAATTAATTTGATAATCCCATGGTACTGCCATCATTTGGCATTCTACAAGTGAACGTACTTCCTAAACTCGAAGAATTTTGAACAGATTTTTCAAGTGGAATTTTAAAGATTATCCCAGCTTTTCTCTGTGAGTTAACAAGGCTGTAAGAGTTGTCAGTCTCTGCCCAGGTGAGTCGCATGACCCTACTTAGAACACATTCTGACTGGCTGATTGGTCTGCCATCTGCCTCAGTAAGTACTTTCTTTCGTAACAACCGGCTACTGGATGATGTGAAGGTGCAATGCCAAATTTAGAATCTTTTTATCAAGGCAGCTGAAAAGTTAAGTATCATACGACTCAATGTTCTTTCTTTTTCTTCTTCCTTTTTCAAGTATGATTCCTTTCCCTTTGTATCCACCTCTCTGATTTATGAACACATACTTTTTACTGGAATTGTCTGGAGGAAGGTTGATGGCAATGTGACAGAAGGTTTGTATGTCAGAAAGATGATCTTTCTTCCTGGCAGCAACAGAAAGAGGTGTTATTTTTTACCTTGCTAACATGATGCTGGAGTTTGGGTTGCTGGTGCCTGGTCCTGTAGGACTCCATTTGATAGTATAAATCTCTTTGCTGTGAGCCTGAAGATCATGTACACAAGTATCTTGCTTCATGCTCCAAATCTAAGTCAGAATAATTATGAAAGGGAAAAATGGCAGCATTACTAACATGATCTCAGCTGAATTATTTCAGTTCTATGTTATTCTTACCGTTTGTTCAAGACCTTGACCCACATGCATAATTTATTAATGTAACAGTTTGGCACACACGTTAGACTAACCCCATTAGGGAAAAGAGCTAAACATTTAATAGTATTTATTCAGTAGATAAGAAGAACTAAATAGTTGCTGTACTGCCCATAGCCTGTAACTCTAGTTTCATACAGAAGCTTAAATTACTCTATTTAGAGAAGTTTAACTTCATCACATTGCAACAGCAGTCATTTTAAAGAAAAAAAAGAAAATTTCAATAACTGCTTAGAACCCAGTAATTTTCTCTTATGCCAGTAAAATTTTCCTTTTCCTCCTAACTCCATTTGTTTATAACATCACAGATGATGCAAGATAATCAGCTATTTATGCAGTGTAACATGGCCAAATATGACAGCGTGAGATAAAAAATATGCTCAAAAAAGATGACAGGTAACTTATAGAATCATAGAACAATGGCTTGGGTTGGAAGGGACCTTAGAGATCAACTAGTTCCAACCCCCTGCCATGGGCAGGGACATCTTCCACTGGACCAGGCTGCCCCAAGCCCCTGTGTCCAACCTGGCCTTGAACACTGCCAGGGATGGGGCAGCCACAGCTTCTCTGGGCACCCTGTGCCAGCGCCTCAGCACCCTCATAGTGATTTCCTAATATCTAATCTGAATCTCCCCTCTTTCAGTCTAAAGCCATTCTCCCTTGTCCTATCACTACATGCCCTTGTAAAAATTTCAGTACATCTTTTCTTCAGCTGGGAAAATAAAATGGAATTAATTCAAAGCAGGGAAAATAACTCAATTTAGTCAGTTTCACAGAGATATCAAAAATGTAATGATTTAAATCACTGTTTTCTCATCATACCTCAGTCTGCTTTTGGAAATGTTACTCAAAGTTTAGCCATGTTGTATGCCTAGCAGGCAACATGTTCTGAGGAGTTGCAGGAAAATAAATATCAAGAACTTCAGTAAAACATAAGAAAAAGAAGCCAGAGAGGACTGGACTGATTTCCAAAGGAAAAGGAAGAAGAATAGTAATTGCCTGAAGAGGATTTGCAGTCTCCATCACAGAAGGTTTTTAAAAACAGGCAAGGCCGGGGATAGCAAACCATTAGCTCTTGTCCCAAATTCGGTGGTCAGAAATTTGAACTGGTACCAACACCACTGAGTGACAGTGGTTTTTAAAACAAAGCATGCAAGTGGGCAGCAATAAAATGTGCTACCACCGGGTGAGGATGTTTAAAGCAGGACAATAATGGTTACTGCAATACTGCGTTGGGGCAGCATAACAGACAAGGGGCTCTCTTTCAGTCTCTTCTAGCCCTATTTTCTGTAAATTTCCAGTTCTGTCAGTAGTCTGTGAAAAAACAGCTAGAATACGGAGTGATGGAAACTCCAGTGGGTTATGTGGCAAAGACAGAGTAGAACTGAGCAGAAGTCAGGCTACCTACAAAGAGGAAATATTCATAACACTGATGTTGACATAGCTCTCCAAGTTCTGCTGCTCTCTTGGTTTCATTTCTTACACACAGGCTGCGTGCATGCTAGAAACTTCTCTTGCTTCAGCTGTGTCAATCAGCAGTGGAAAGAGGTATGAGCCTTAAAATTAACATAACAATACTATGAGGAAGCTGTACTACTGGTACAATTCTATCCATAAAACCAAATCTTTCCTGGGATGTTTGCTTTGCTCAAGGAACCAGAATAAATCAACAGTCCAGCAGGAGGTCTTTGCTGTTACAACATAGAGCTATTCCTACAGAGGCATGGCCTTCATTCAGTGTGGCTGGGAATACAGAATAAGAGTGAGAGGAGTTTGGGCTGGAAAAGCTCTATTGTGAAAAGTATTTCTGCAAGCCCAGACTTCCCCTGTACTAGCAATACTGCCCTGGTGCAGTGCAGTGGCCCAGGTGTGCTGGTAAAGCAGCTTATGCTGCCTGTGAGCCAGAATCCAGATTCATTCCACCTAACTTCAGGCACCTAACAGAGGCATGTATACCAGCAGTAGAGCTGCCTAATGCTTCCCATATAGTAAATAGATAGTGACAGGCAGCTTCTGAGAGCAATTCAAATTTTTGGTGGACTGAATATATATATGTGGTGCTCCATTGCTTAGTCCAAAGCTATTTAAAAGAAATAAAATCAAATGGCTCCAATGCAATTACCTTCAGAATAAAGACTCTAAAGGGAAATAAAATTCTTTTATTTTTATATTATTTTCATAGTATAACCAATATGCTGCTTCTTAGACTAGGGATTATGCGTCTGTTAACAGGCAAGCAGGTGTATATACCTGTATATCTAAACTATGACTATTCTGTATCAGTGACATCAATCTTGTAACACTTATTTGGATAGGATGTCTCAGTTTTTCCACTGCCTGCTTCTCCACGTTCCATCTTTTAGACTGGCTTTAAGAACTATGGGACAAAATGAACTATTGTTCATGCACACCTTTAAGTGATGCAGTACCATCATCCTGGAGAAGATTAAAAAATAGATACAATTTTTCTCTTCACTTTTTGAACAGAAGGAATGGAAATGATATTACCTTTAATGTCATGTCATCGGAGCAAGATGCTAATAGCATGCCAGATGGGTCCCATTTGATTGCATTAACCTCGTTCTGAAATAAAGAGTGTTTTTATTAATAAGTAAATATTCCGGGTACCTGCAATGTACCAGGCACCCAGCAGAGGGCACTCAAGGTTTGTGCAGGCAACCAGTTCAACCACAAATTACAGCCCTGGTTGCTTTACGGGTGAAGAAAAGCAGTGCTGCTTCTGTAACATGTTATTTAAGTGTCATTTAGAAATGGTAACCATTTCGTGTTTGTGAACAATACACACAATCACTCTTTCGGTACGTGTTCTGGCACAAAGTCTCTCATACCTATTTTTCATATGGTAAGATTTAAATAAACCTTCAAACCACACAGACTGAAGATACGTTGTTAGATTACTTTTTCTTTGGTTAATATTCCATAGAGCTCAGAGATACAAATTTTAGATAGAAAATACTGGTGGAATGTAAAGTTCTGTGGAGTTTATAATTCTTAGTATTGCAGCTTTACAACAGTGTGGTCTCTCTAAAGATAAGTGTATGTGTAAATGAAATCCGGGACGGAATATTGAATAGTTTATCATGCTTTCTCTATCAGTCTTTCTAGCACTTCGTAATTAACCAAGCCTAGTTGACTACCTAGTCAGTAAGTTTTCTGTGCTTTTTCTGGGGGTTATATATATGGAGAAAAAAAGCATTTCATAAAGGGAAAGACCGCTTTTTTAAAAACATAAATTGGCTCAGGGTCTCAGTGAAAATAATTCTGGAAAGCATGTAGACTTTTGCTTCATCCATTTGACATGTTTCAGTCATAATTAAAAGCAACTATACAGGCATTTGAAGTAAAAATTTGGATCATTGGCAAAATGGTGCATTTCATATAATCATAAAAAGTACCAGTCTATTGCTAGGAATGTACAACCCGTCATGAAATACCAGTTTAACCACAGACTAGATAAAGGTCTCCAAATGGATAACTTTTCCTCACTGGGGAGATAGCAAGTTCTGGAAGTGAAGTTCTAAATTACAGGTCAGAATATGATAGCAGTTTTCTCATGAATGAGAGCTAGAAAAACTGGCCTTTGACAGTCATTAAATACCACCAGGAAAGGAGCGGGGAAATGCATCTTAAACAGAATTTATTAGATTAAATCGATTCTAAATCTGAGCAATGGCTGGAGATAAATTGTTCTCTCCTTATTCATAGTTCTCATTTACTAAAGGAAATTAACCAGTGGAAAACAAAATCATATTTATTAATGTGCCCTTAGTCTGCAGCTCATGCTACATATAAATAGTCTTACTGTTTAAGCTGCAGGTTTTGCCTCCTATGGTGATTTAGAACAGTTTATCCCTTCTCACAAGCAATGAATCACTCCCAAGGAACATGATTTTAAGGAAGCAATGGGATGCAACACCTTTGGTGCTAGAGCACACCCTGCTAACACATCATCTGCCACAACATGCTGCTGCGACTTCATCACTAACATTTTTGACTTCTTAAACTTACTGTGTGTCCTTGAAAGGTTTTAACTGGGCGATCACAGCCAAGTCTGCATACATGAATGCACATGTCAGTGCTGCAGGAGGCAAAAGTAGTGTTGTTCTGCCAGTCTACATCCAGAGCAGGAGCTGTGAAGTTCAAACAACGGAAGGAACATCAGGGAACACAGCAAAGAAACAGCTATCCCAAATAACTTTCCTCCTGTCACCTATCTGGATCAGACTAAAAGCTAGTTCTTGGCCTGTCACCGAGTACCAACTACAGGGATGATAGGGACTGTCTGAAGGGCACAAATGATTTTTATTCTTGCAGTGGATAATTTGTATGCTTTGCATGGCATGTGTTTATGAGAATCTTTTGGGTTAAGTTACATACAAGGGGGCAAAACAATCTACCCCTACCTTCCCAGCTCGCAGCTACACACAGTTTTTGGGCCACCTCTACCATTCATTCCTCTATAAGCCAGTTCAGTGAAGAACCCGGAAGAAAACTAACCAAACCCCCCCTTGGATAATTTCATCTGGATTAGAAAAAATGTTCCTGTGAATGCCAGACACATGGGTAAGAGGAGCAGGTGGCAAAGGTAATTCTTTTGCACTAGCTTTATGCAACCACTGATAAAAACCTATCATTTTGTGCAGGCACTTGGATTAATAATACTACATCCAGTTTAATTTGGTTGGGGACTGATTTAAGATCGGTACATTGATCAAGCTGATCTGAAATGAGAGGAAGAGCTTCCATAGAAGGTTCGGCATCAACTAGGACTGAACTGATGAAACTTTGTACATAGTTAGCACATGAACATTTACTGCCTGTGTGTAACACACACACTTTGCAAAAAGAGTGAGTAAGAACCCCAACAAACTTCTACAGCATGTTCTGGAGTAGGAGGGAACTCCTGACATACATCTTGATTCCGTTTCTATGACTGCTGCTTGGCTTTTTTCTCAGAGAAGAGTTTAGCTGCCCTCCAGAGGATGACATAAGATTTGCTAAAATACAGAAATCCTCATTCTCATCATGCTCCTGCAAGAAGCAAGTGTGCCAGAATGAGACCAGCATATACGAAGCAAAGTTGAATCTCTTTCTGGCAAGTTTAACATTAAAATGAAACTAAGAAATGCCTTATTCAAATACGTTCAGAAAAATGCCTTTGTAATACAGGGGTGAAAAGATACCTGTTCTGCCAAGCCTATTATATTTAAATGTTTTTTCCTGTTATAATTTTTATGAATTGCAAAATGAGATTGATCACACACCACCTTCTGAATCATCAGGTAGCTGTCTAAATGACAATGGAGGACTAAAATTCTTTCATATACAAGTATTTTTCAGAATATTAATGAAAATGCTCAATAATTTTTTTTGTGACAGGTAAGGAATTTCTACGTTGCAGAATACAAAGGAAATTTCTGTGAGGAAGGCAGGTTACTTCTGAATTTTCCAATGAATGTGAATTGGGCTCAGGAAACAGTAAAGGATTTTGTTGCTGTAACTGCCTGTTTGTCTTTCTTTTTATGCTGCAAGCTTTGTATTACTGTTTCAGAGCAAACAGAAATCTATCTTTATTAATAGCAATATGCCTTCAGGGCTAATATCTAGTATGATATGTATGAGTTGAAAAGTAATTTGCTGAGAGCTATTGGCACCTAAAGCAACGGATTTGCATTGCAGCATAATTTGAATCAGAGAGTGTTGATAATTAATACTGATTCATTTACTGGTATATTTAATCATAAGATTACTGGATAAGTAACTAGACAAAATGGCAACCAAAAGTGTTGTTGGATGCAAGTAATTAAATTGCCAAAGTGTCTCCAAACCGACAGTATACTAGCCAATCTCATAAAACCAATTAGAATGTCATCTAATAAAAGCAGCAACAAATCCTTAAAAAATGCAGCTAAATAAACACCAACAATAAGAGTGTTACAATAATTATCAGTTAATTTAAGCTTTTTCTGGACAAATTTAGAATTGGAGGCTCAGAAGGGGATAGAGTTAAGTGACCGCAGGGAGTGATTCAGAGCCCTTAGATGTCTAAAACTGGATCATACAAATACCTCTTATGGTATCACTTAACCAGTTTGTTCTTGCACGCATAGACATCAGTCCACATCTACCAGTATATGTGAAAATCAGATTATTTCACTCCATTTTAAAGAAATAAGCTTTGTGAATACATATTTTGATCAAATGCCCTATAATGACTAGTAGTTTTGCAAAGTATAATGAAACCCTAGAAGGTACTTTTCCATGTACTTAAGTATTTTGACCACACACCCTTAAAGCTTCATGGGAACATCAACGATATAGAGACCTTCAAGACCTATATAAAGGAGACTTCCTCATGTATTTTAAGAGGACAATTTTGTCCATATGGGTATAAACTAAAAAAGTTGTTGTAAAGTAGCTGAGAGTAAACAAATTATGTTATTCCCAGGCCAACTCCAGACTTCAAAGAAGTATGCAAAGTACGCCACACAAGTATGTGTTAAAGGAAATGCACTCTGTCTAGACTAGACTTTTAATTGTTAAAATGACATCTTTAATTCTCGTGTAGAAAAGGTTTTCAGACTCCAGATATGGAAAGGAATTTGCTGTTTGTTTGTTCTGGTGAATAACTGATGCAAAGACGACAAGGTGAGGTCTTTGTGGCTTTAGACTTACATAATGACAAAGACTCCAGCTGATTTTAAGGGGGTTTTTGTAGGACATATGCATCTCAACAATTTCCTTAATAACTAACTGCTTTACTTCCCTATGAAAACAGTTCTGAAATAATGCAAAAAACCAAACCAAACCAAAATTATCCCTCCACATTTCCTCTTCGGAGGTGTCTTATGGTCCAATGACAAACAGCATAATAAGAATTTTTATCAAAGTTTATTAATGCAAATGGACATTGGCATATCGCATTGAAAGATGTTGTTAACTATTCAACTTGCTAAAAGGGCAATGATGTGTCCTTGATGCACCTTACTGCTAAGACAGCTGCATGTCAGTGAACATGATTTTGAAGGGGCAACCAAGTCCTGAATCTGCAACTACTTAGATCAATGGTTAGGGATCAGAAGGCTTAAGAGTCTCACTAACTACCTCACTACAGAGTGCAAAGTTTGCTTTTGTGGAACAGTTATGATTGATAGATAAATAAATGCCATAGTGAGAAAATCTGAATAAATGCCACAGTGAGAAAATCTGTCAGCAAGTGACTCCTCCAAACTGACAGCTGCATTAATAAGAGAGAAGATGAGTGACAAAAATGCAGAGTATGGATCTGCTATGAGCATGGACATACTTTGTCTTCTGATGAATAACTATTTCAATTGCTACTGCATATTAACAACATCTGTGAAAATGTGAGAATGAGAACAGCTAGAAATTGAGCTGAACAGCATGCTCAAATTAACGTTTCAAAATTAGTAGTAAAATATGCCTTTTTAAGCCATTAAGCACCTTGTGAAAGCCTGCTATATCTAAAAGTGGATTAGTTACACTGAACACACAGGAAGATGAACATTTATAGCTTCAGAATCTGAAATGTTTTGGTGGTTTTAAACTTCGTTTGACTATGCCCCTTAAAAATTCTTCACTATGACAACTTAATCCAGTTTGGATCATCTTACAAGTGTGGTCTCAGATGAATTTAAGATTATGCCAATGATTGCCTGTTACTCAAGATTACTTAGTATCTGAGACATTTCCTATCTTCTTGAAGCAGACCAGATCTACAAACAACCACCCAAGTAAGGTTTTGGTGCAGCAAGGTTTAGAAACTCAAGGTTGGCAACTGACTTCTGATGACTGCAGAAAGCAAATACTGAAGAACTTTAAGTCAAAGTTAAAAGCTAAGAAATTCCTGAGGACCTTCTTGCTTGCAGTGATGAATGCAAGTTGCATGAGAGATCCACCTGCTTCTGTCTTAAGTCAGCTTCACTGAAACAGGAGCAAAAAGAGAGGAAGAGATCCTAGACACTTCCTTCGAAGTGTCTCTTCAAAAATAACCACTTGGTACTATTCAAGCACATAGATAATGACAGAATCATTCAGCTAGACAGACATGAGTCGTGTATAAATCCTCTCCTAGCATCAGTTTGACTTTCAAAGCTGATTATAACAGAACCCCATTTTTCTAAAATAGAATAAACCCACAAGCCACAATACTCAGGACAGTTAAAGCAGAAAAAACTCAGTTCAAACTTCTCTCTGGCAGGCAGGTTTTTTGCAAAAGTATGTATTATATTAACAATATTAAAAAATGCATTTCATTTTACTAACAAAAGTTATGCAGAAATTACCTGAATGGAAGGGAAACTGCTGTTTAGCTTCTCCTGTATGAGCATCCCAAATTATTGTCGTCTGCATCCAGAGGAAGGGAATAAAAAAAGAGTGATTGTTCAGCTCAGAGAAAACAAACAGAGAGCACCCTCACTGTGGAACAACTCTAAAAAATGGACTGATAAAACTACTGACTGCAGAGAGCCTTGTGTGCTGAGCAGCTGAAGAAACACAAATCACTTCCAAATACTACAGAATAATAATCTAAGTGTTGATAAAGAAGCGCCATGCCTAGAGAGGAAGTAACCTAACTACTAAGAATGGCACATCTCTCTGAATTATGCTAGAAGACAGCACTACACATTTTTAAGAAGCACTTTGTTACAGCTGCTTCAGTTACCTTCTTCAAAGAAAACTTTTTCCCCTTTTCAAAGATGCAAGTTGAACTCTACTCCAAACAACATGATACTACATCTCTAACAATTAAAACACCAAGTGAAATGTTTATCTAGTAGCAGAGTATGTATTGCTTCTTGCCACTGTGGTGGGACAGATTAAAGTGTAATTTCCTTACTACAGGTTTGATCCATACTCAACAGCACACATAAGCAACTTCTGTGTAGAGCTCAATACCACCTTGTGAGTGAATTGTCAATTTGTTAGGAATGTATGCTTCCAGAAAATAAATTAGGGATGCCTCATCTTCCCGTAGCGAATCACCTAAAGAATCACTGCTGGGAATCTAAGTTGGCCAGAATAATAGAACTGCCATTGGGAGACAGTTGTACCTGAATATAAGCCAGTATTAAAAGGAATAAAACTAAGTTTCCATTTTCAGAAGTATGTGAAAATATATATATGGATTCATCTAGTTTACAAATCAGATTTACAAGCCTCAGCTAGTTTCCCTAGATCTCCTCTATCAGCTGCTGGAGAGAAGCACTGTTAGTGCACTGTAACATAGGCCATGTAATCATGCCATTTTTTCCTCCAAGTTTTATACAGGAGGCCAAGGATGACATACACATTTAGTTTTTAGACATTGAAAGCTAGGCAAGATGAATGCTGTGTACTTTGCAGTTTCAGTTTTAATGGATTTGTGCTCATCATCATCAGTCATCTATTAATTTTAATCTCCTAATATGCACTTAGCTGTAACTATGTTTTGCTTGCTTTTGAGTTCCTATTTGCATAGGAAGCCTTTTTATTTTTGCATATTTGCATAGGAAGCCATATATAATTTATTCAAATAAAAGTGTTTCAATAATTAAATGAGCTAAAAAGTGCAGTATCTTTAAGATCACTTCCTTCCTGGAAATATTTAGTTGATAGAACTACAAACGTAAGTACTGGAAAGTAGTTTTTTCCTTAACTGAGGCTCATTTAAGATGCAATCTGAGGCAGGGAGAAAATTGAGGTTTTTTGTGTTGGTTTTTTTTTTTTTTTAATTAAAATCTTTTACATAAAAATAGTACACATTTATCCAGTCTGAAAAATGGAATTGACACCACTAAAACATATTAAACTCTCTAGGATGCCTGGAAGAGAAGAAAATAATCTTGTGGAATTCAGCAGCACAAGCTCACTGAGTCAGCACATTCATATGTTAGAATAATGTATTTTTAAAACTCACTTTATCAACACCAGCACTTAAAATATAATTCCCCTTTTTGTTCCATTTCAGGGCAAATATTGGACCTTTATGTTGACCTAAGGTGCTTGCAAGGTTACCTGGAATAAAGAAGAAGTTATTACAATTTGTTTACAAATAAGCCAAATTAAAGTTCACTGCTGTTTGATGCTTATGAACAATAGATGTTGTTTGACTTACCATCTTCTGTCCATATTCTTGCAAAACCATCATATGAGCCTGTAGCCAATAGTGTTCCATCACTCTGTTGGGATAAATATAAATGGCAAAGGTCAATACCAGAAATCTGTTTCAACCAACCTTTTTCATTTGCTCTCTTTTTTAAAGTTTGTACATCGTGATTTAAGGGAAATCTGAGTCCACACATTGAGACAGATTATACCATGATCTAAACTACAGGTTATTATTGCGAACATCAAAGAGGAAATAAACCCCTCTAACATACTGTGAAATACTGGGCTACACCATCAGATAAGAGTCATTTAATCAAAAGGATTACGAAAAGAAAACAAGATACAACAAATTCTATGGGATTCGTCCAGATAACAGATACTCCTTCTTAGACATAAAAAGCCTGGAAAACATCAACAGACCATCTAAATCCTGACTAAATGCCAGTTCACTACAATTCAGACACCTGAAAGAAGGACCTAAACACCTAATCCTCCAAAACTCATGGTTAACACCTTGAATGCTATCTTCCACCAAGAAGCTGCTTTCTACTTGTGTGAACCCAGACTCCCATACATGCTCAGAGGCCCAATACCCTGACAAATAGCCTGAGAAAAGTTGGATTCATGGGTCCCAATTAGGAGGAAAAAAAAGCCCAGGAATTGTAATGAGTAGATTATATGCATTCTGCTGGAGGAAGCCCTTCACTGAAGGGTGTCTCTTGTGCAGCCAGCAATGCTAGAGTTATTGGGCCAGAATGAGAATAATTAAAAAGATACTTGACTCTGCAATCTGGTGAGACAGGTACTACTGGAGCTGGGATTTTCTCTAAACATTCCAGCGTCTGGCTTAGAACTGAGATTCACCCCATTTATCTCCAGACATCCAGAAATTAGGAGTTAGTTTAAAAGAGTAACCTAGTCTCCCTCTATAATTAACAGTATCACCCACTGCTGGCGTGTAATTCACAATCCCATTTGCATTAGATTCTGCCAGGATGAATGCACATGTTTCTATTTTTGCTGACTTAGAAGGAGTCTAGATGACTAGTTTAGATGGTTAAATCTAAGGGAGATGATTCCTACCCTCTGTTCCAAAGGACAACCTGAATACAGCCTCTAGAAATAACCCTTCTTATTGTAACATAAATCACAGAAATTGGAGAAGAACCGATTTAATATCACTAGTGTTAAAATTTCACGGTGAAATACGATATTGTGGTTCTAAATAAATAATAAAGGCAGATGGCATTTCTAGTATCATGAATAGAAAACAAGGAAAAAGCATAAAATAATCCTTTAAAGCATATGTCCATCCAACCCTTCAAAAACAGTGAGTCAGAGTAGTAGTTGCAGATTTAACTCAAATATACCATGACGTAGTGGGAAAATACCAAAACCTAAGCCAACTTCACTGTGATATACCCTTATTGGGACCACTGATGAAAACAAAGGTGATAAGGGCAAAAAGAAAAAGCGAAGGAAAGCTCAGGGACTAGATGTACAGTTTATCCAAATTTGGTGGTGGCAATTCACGTACCTTGGAAAACTCAAAGTGGGTTAGAAGCATTTCAGGTGTTTAAAGTAGGAATGTTTTCTTACATTAAGTACTAGAACAATGCAAGTGAAGTATCTGATCAATGACGTATGGAAAGGTAAGGAACTACTACAGGAAATTCTAAGGGATGCCCTATATGTTTTGGATGTTTCTCATAACTCTTCTGCACCTTTGCATGTTTTCCTCTTTCAATTAGTCTTTTCCTACTCCTCAGTTCAGTTTTTCCCAACTACTTTTCTTCACTGTGGTATCTGCAAGAAACCAGTAATGAACATTCTTGGGTTTTATCTTTATTTGCTTTGTTAATCTACCTCTGCTTTCTGTGCTGTTCACCAACTTCTTTCATTGTGTCAAATACAAAATACACAGGAGATGCTGATTTGTGCAGTGGCCTTATCTTTTACTTTTGTGAAGCACTTAGCTCACCTGAAGGAAAGTAATACTGCGGTAAAGATTAACCGAATCTTGGTCTCTGGCCAGCAGCTGAGACAGTATGTAACTGCTGAGAATCCTTTTTAGTACTTAATTTTTAATTTGTTTTCCTACAAAACCAAGACGAATGTGAAAACTCTATCTGTACTAATACCAGCAAAAAAGACAGAAAGCAAGTGGTCTCAAAATTAATTAAGGTTCCTGCAAGGTCTTGCAAGTTCTTTTTACAATGCTTGGTGGCAGAAAGGAGACATGAAGCAGCCTTAAAGCTGCCCAAAGACACTGCCCCAACACTAGGGTTTCTTAACAATAACTGTCCTCCACACTCACTTCAGTCTTCTCTGAGCAGGACCATACTTAGACAGAAGGTTTTGCGGGATGAAAGTAAAAAAGGGATCAGGAAAGACAGTTCCACCCAGAGGTGGTAAAGAGAGAATGACTACACATGCTCCTACCAAGATGAAGACTATAATGTGAACATGTTTTGCCATGCACAGAGTAATTCAAATGAGAGAGGGTCTTGATAGTGCAGCTTCAGAAAAAACTTTCCTTGTGCTTGTATCTCTTTACATGCCAAAATAAAGTAACTATGAGATGCAAATACATTATTAATCAGGCTTCATTACTTGTAGATTGCTTGTTTAATCTTCATTCTTAAAGTTAGCTAAGTTTATTTTTGCCCATGCTTCTAAAATAGAGATACAAATACATCATTATTAAGCTTGAAGATGGCAACAGTACCGGAAAATTATAGCATACAGGGGAAAGTTCAGCCTATTATGAGTATTTGAAACAAGAGGTCAGTAGGTTAGGACAGAAGTTCTGGTCACCTCAGATATAAAAGATATGGAGCAGCAGCTGTAATTGCCTCTGAATTAAATTTAGACAGTGAAAAACCATGCAGTCTTAGAAGTTAGCTTACATTCCAGTCCAGTGAAGTCACATCCTTATTGCTGGGGACATCGTGTCCTCCTTCTCTTATGCAGTGCCTCAAAACTAGTTGAGTGGAACTGCTGTTGCTGTTTTCATTGAGATTCCATATTCTGGCTGTTGAGTCTCCGGATCTATAAAAGCAATTGTGCAGAGATGAAAACTCCTCTTGCTGTCGACCCAGCAAACAATGTAAGGACCTCTATTTCTGTTTTCATTAGAGAACACCACAGCCTTTAAAATTTTTTTCTGTCCAACCCTTTCTGCACCCCATGTACCTTCTAAAAAATGCTAACACGTATTTAAATTATACATATCGTAATCCACATTGACATTTGCTTGATTCAGAAAAGTTTAACCTAAAATGCATTTGCTTGCTCTCTGCATTTGACACTTCATACCTAAAGCTGATATCACCATAACTGAGATAGTCTGGGGGGACTCAACATTACAAATGTAACACTGTGGAGATTCCAATAAAGACAGAAACACCGAGGCTGTGCCCACGTGGCTCCCATAAGAAGCGTGCAGCCCCGTTAGCTCCAGAGGAGTCACCAAGCCTCCGGTGTTCCCCAGGAGCTGCAGTAGGCTCTGAGCACAGTATGGCAGGACCTGCAGGGCCACTGCCTGCAGAGGTGCAGAGTGTCACCCTGGCAGCAGTGTGACAAAGGTGCTGTGGTATCACCTCTCCACTCCTGCAGGAGCAGGAGGTGAACTTAAGACTCCTTTTACTTCGGCTATGGCCCTTTCATAAGGTACTTCTGTTCAGGACACACCTCTCAGCATTAAATTAAGCTATAGAATCTAAAGGTAAGGAAAGTAGAAAGGTAATTTAAATAATTTTTTAAAATTCATCTTTATTTAATTTTTTAAAATCATGTCCACAGGGTCCTTTGCTGTCTGTAGCTCGGCTGCTTAGCTCATGTTGTTTGAAAAAGCGGCAAAATAACTACTGACATGACAGAGCAAGACAGAGACAACACCAGGTTTTTCATCTATTTTACACAGTTTTCTATGGAGATGTTTTTCTTGCAGGCTGAAACCTTAATTTTGCCTAGAAAAAGTTGTGAGGTGAAACTGAAGAGTTTCTCATAACCTGCTCATAAATAACAGTTTTATTTTCACTTTGCATAAATCCTTCTTCCAATGGAAAATGTCCCTGAGGTCAGAAATCAATTTGCAATGGGATGGAAGACATTACGCTTTCTAGTTTATTGGGATTTGCCTCCTGCTCCTCTTCTCCCTTTTTTAAAAAAAAATCAATAACAAGAGCAACTAAACCAATCAAAGTAACCTTGACTGCTTGATTTGTCCAGAGGGTAATTTCCATTTACATGCAGTAATCTTGGAATCTTGGAGCTGAATTAGGATCCCTCTTATATTTCCAGAAATTCATACAGTCTTGATGAAATTTCATTGCTGATGTGATAGCTCTTCCTTTTTTTTTTGAAGTAATGACTGTAACTTCCTTTCCTGTACACTAACAAAGAGAAAAAGTCTTTCTTTGAAGACTAAAAACCTGAGATCCATTTTTGCTTTGACACACCATGTTATACTGAAAAGAAAATTCCTCACATGAGAATATTAGATTTTCTTCTGGGCTACTAAAAAACATTTTAATTATTTATACCAAAAGTACCAACCTGATTTTAAACACCTGACATGCCTTCAAGTGCAAGTATTGACCAATCAAATACTGAACTTGATTGATCTTTGTGTTATTATTTTACCAATAATTTAGCCAAATTTTGCACAAACAACAGTTCAACTGTAAAAGCAAAAAGCTTTTACAGCTTTTTGCCTGTATCAGCGGCTCTGAGCTCTGCTGGGTCACAGCATGCCTGGGGAATGTGCTCCCATCTCCTCTGAGCCTTATGTGTCAAGCAGAGATGTGATGGTTGGCCAGGGCGTTGCCAGCCTAAACCGAAATATACTGCTGTACAGACATTCTGTGACTTTTGGCACGTATCTTCCATGTTAGTGATTAAGAAATCATTTGAGTCAGGGTAATTTTTACCACCATACAGAGTGGTGACGATAATTTAACTCCTTATTTTTTCAGAGGTCTGGAAAACGGAAAGAAACCAGTTTTGTACATGTTGGCTAGAAAATGAACAAAGTTAATCATAAGGCTCAGAAGGGAAGGAACCTTTCTGGTTGTGATAATTTACAATAATGGAAACATAAGTCTTTCATAGGCTTGGGTTATTGGTTAACATCCTAAATAGGAAATTTCTTCAGTGCTGGCTTCTCTGCTATGTAAGGCTCCAGGCCAATACTGCCCTCATTGTAATAATCCAGTTTGTTATTGGACCCTGTAAATAAAGTACTCCGTCACTTGGCTATCAAACACAATATCCTATTTGCTAGTTCTAAAAGGGTTATGTTTTGTTTTTCAAGAGTTTTATTTAGTCAGTTTTCTGGCAATGCTTGGGCAATATTATTTTCCAGTATTTTAATTTTGTTTTTCCATTTTCTTCTTCCTAAGGCTACATAAGCTATAATGTGCCCCTGCAGAGAGGCTTTAAAAGCCTAACAGTGTGTGGTAGGGGTATTTGTGTGTCTTCCCTTTTGTTGCTGGGGAAAATAGAATATTCTCTGCTCTGGAAAGTATTCCGATTTCTGTTGAATGATTCAGTGAACCCTGCCTTATTAGTGGACCATAGTTCAAGCACAATTCAGAAAGATGTTTAATCTCCTTAGCCCATAGAAGCATTTCTATCTGCATGATAAAGCAGCTCATTCCAACATGCAAGTCATGAACACTTGAGTAATAGGTATACTGTTCTGCACTATGGTAGAGTATTACCAAATTTTAGGAAGGCTAGTTCTGAAAGAATTTTATTTCATGCTCTCCAGCCCTGGTATAATCATGAATCAAGGCGGACAAATGTTTGCAGGATTTTATTTGAGCCATATGAATTCTCCATTCTGCCACTGTCAGCACAGAGCTTAAAACAGCTGCAGTTGGGTAAAGAAATTTGCAAGATGGATGTTGAACCTCAGTACTTCTAATCTTCAGCTGCAAGTCTCATAATCACCGTTATTCTGATATGCAATATTGCTAATGTGTATTTAACCCTCCTGGCTCTAACGGGTTAGACTTTTTATTATTCTATTTGAAAAGAGATTACTAGAAACTTAAAGTGAAGGAAACTTTTCATAATTTGCATACTTAATTCTTCCTTAATAAAGCGGGTCTGTTAAATAAGTGCTTGTGCTTCCTAGGTGGTCAGTGGAGGGAAGTGCCTCGGAGGTATCCAGAGGGCGATTTCTGTCCCACTGATTCTACAGCACTGCTGCCTGCAGCAGGTTGTTCAAGTAGATCTCACCTAATAGCTGACCGCTTTGCATTAATGGATTTGATGTAATGAGGAAACTGCCAATAAAGTCACCTGCTAATGAATAAGCATTTACAGCTAGCAGAATTAACAGCTGCTGCTGACCAGGGTAGTGGTGTGTGAAATCAAGCCCCTCAACCTGATAATCCAAAAGGATTATTCAGAAAGGTAATTCATAGTGGATCCTAAACTACTGATATGAGGAAGTACTATATAAAACCCACAGATGATGACAGGAGATGGCTGCAAACATCCTTTCTTGCTTCTGAGAAACAGTCATAACTGAAAGACCTTGGACAACAGCTGTTATGGCTAATTACTTTGCTGACTAGGAGAGTGAAGGTGCACAGAAGGTACAAGAGACAAAGTACCCCTGTGTGAAAGAGGCTTGTATAGATCAGCAAAGAAACCCGCTGTTGGGTTTTGAGAACGAGGCCAGGTCCCTCTGCTTCATGGCTATGACAATTACTTGAAGGGCGTGACTGGATGTAACAGACGTGGAAACAGCATTTGAACATGCTGACAGAAACATCCTAAATTCAACTGGAAAAACGTTTAGAGTTCAAGGTTCTAGCAGCCTTGACATTCACAACCCATCCGCTTCCATACTGGGAAATTGAAGCATGTTCAAGAACACTCTGGGTCACCAGACCACAATGACCTATGCTGGCAAACTGATAGACTATTCCCTGGCCTGTTTTAATTAGCACTCTTGCCTGGGGCCCTAACATTCTCTCTAAATAACTCCTGGGCATGACTTGGTGGTTACAATGTCCAGAGATGATTCCCAATGTGCAGTTTGTTTGGCAGCCAGGACAGTTTCCTAGCACAGACACCGGCCATTCTGTGCCAGTTGGCCTCGATGCCTAGGAAAATTCCCAGGCATGGTTAGATTGCTAATGTGGATGTAGCTGTAAGGGGTTTCTGCACTACCAAGGGAACGTAACCATCTGTAACAATTTTTATGTGCAATAAAATTGAAACTTAGATATTGAAAGGTATCTCACGGAAGAAATAATTGTTTGAAGAGGACAATTGTCTTTTAAAAGCAAAATTGGAATTACGGCTCGGAATGGCCAAATCTTGAGATTTAGCCAAGCACCTACTTTTTTTCTTTTTTTCTGACCTGTCTGAAACACTAAATGCAATTATTTGTTTCGGAATGTTGATTTCCTTCATAAAGGGTGACTAATCCTCTTACATGGCTGTACGTATGTACTTTACTGTACTATCATAATGCTTCCATTCATAACATCTAAGCATTCTTCTCATAAGCATCTGGTGGCAGTCATGTCTTTGGCAGCCTTTACTGATATCTACAGTCTCCTCCATCCTCCACTTTAAAGGACTTTAGGGGTTATGGGTGCGGTGGAGGAGAAAGACCAGCTGCAGAATATACTTATTTCTGGCTATTTGATGAGAGAAATTCCTGTCTCCACTGTTGGTTTGTTGTTTTTTTTTTAATAGCCTTTGCAAAGTCTTGAGACTTGAAGGGTCTACTAGCCTTCACACCCTAAAAAATCAAAGCAACTGAGTAGATGGGATATCACAGACCAAAATCCCTTTCTATCAGTGGCATACTCACTAAACCTGGAGACCAATGCTCTAGTTCTTGGTAATTCATTCTACAAAGAAATCCCTGACACAGTTTGCTTCAGATTAGGTTGTGAACCTGCATTATTCTTTTAGTGCTTTGAAGATTAGATTTGATTGCTGTCTAAAGTGCTGATAATTGTTAGAAATATCTATTGCTTGTATAACAAAGCTTGAAGAAAATACTTTGCCATGAATTGAAATTTGATTGTGCTAGGCATTGTATAAACAGAAGAAATGTGTTATTTCCTTTATTTAACAGTTAGGTTTTTATATGTATTTTTTAAGAAGACAACAGATGGGTACAACCAGGCAGATGGAAATCCAGAAGAAAACTGCGGACTGGGCAGCACAACATGGCTATTAGAGAATCTAACAATTCAGTGTTCATGCATCAGACTAACTGGTTTTCTTTTTCAAAGCATTACTTTGTAAAGGACAAAAGGAACTGCAGTGTACTGCACATCTCAGGGAGCTTATCTCCCTCATTTAATTGGAGCCATAACACACAGTTTACCTGTAAGCGCTAGCTTGCGCTATTATTATACCAGACATCCCCAAATGCTTTTCTGTGCAGTGGCATCATCAGCTAGACAGTTCTCCTCCTTTGATTTAATTTTCTTCTGTGCGTTCTATGCCATTTCAGTCATGTAAGCTTCATCAGGCATTTCCCTCTACTGCATCTACTGCTGCATTACCTGAAGGCTAACTGCATCACATGCTTTGTTTCTTATAAGCAGGCTAAAATCTGATTAAGATCCACATGGATCTAAATTATTTGCATTTTCATTACATTGCCATTTGTCTGTATGAGACACAGCACTTGAATGTACCTTCTAACCATGCATGTATTTATGTGCTTCCAAAATCAGTAGCAAAGCATATTGAGACCTATTACACTGAGGGGTAAAGCTCAGTTGAAGGGATAGTAAGAGGGTACTTCTCTATCTCAGGCATCTGATTAACAGTTCTGATTATCATCCTCCAGGTTTACCTCAAGCAGCGTAAGAGCTGTCAGTGTCCCAGGGATCCATCTACTAGTGCTTAGCACCCTGCAGCAAAGTTAAACACTCACTGATTCCTCAGTCACTGCAGTAATTTATTGGTTTATTAAATGGTCCACTTTTTAGACTATGTACACCAGGCCTGTGAAACACAGACTCCAGGGAAGCAGCCCAGTATGGCAAGAACTGACAGAGGTGAGTCAGATACTAGAAGTAGTAATCAACGCTAAAGCCAACAGATGAGGTCTGAGCACCTGTACTTAGGAGTCTTAACTCCCTATGTAATGAGTTAAGAGACGTAGGTACCTGCAGAAGGACAGAGCACTTGAGTGGATGTCTAATTTCTGCTGTTCAGATATTCTCTAAAATAAAGCAGCATCTTCACTTCATCTCAGGTGCCACCAGGTGTCCCTAAAGAATAATTCTATATGGCATCCTTTCTCCCCACTGATTTTCCTTTACATAATAATGTGGGTGTGCTAACTCATCACTTGTAAATTGTTCTCCAGAGAATTCAAATAAATACCATAATGGATAAGTTTCCTAATAAAAAGTATATTATTTAGGATGACAGGGCTAAAGAAGATTGGACTTAATGATCTTAAAGGTCTTTGCCAACCTAAACGGTTCTATGATTCTGTGACTGTATAAGATCTATTGCACCAACAAATACAGTCCCTTCATTTGAATGATCCTAAATATGAGAGCTATTGATCTCAAGACAGCCCATGAAATTCTAATTAAGTTTGTCCCCACTATGGGAAAGATCTTTGAGATTGTATGAAACCTTCTCTAGATTTTCATCTTTAGTAAGAAACAAGCATGAAAACAATTTAATGAGGTTAACTAAACTCTTCTTAGTTTTTTAGGTTTTCTTCACCATTAAGCCATGATTTAACATCTACGAGTAGTCAAAGGATTCAGGCATACATTGAAAAGTTAGAGTAGCAGTACAGGAGCATGTTCATTCAGGATCATTTGGTGTTGATTTACAAATCATTACGTAGGCAGTAGCATTTCCTGTACATCACAGATTCTTTGCCTTCCCTTGATTCACTTATTTTAATTTTAAAACATCCTCTCAGATTTGGGCTGGGATGATTACGGGGTATCATATGCTACAGTTTTTTCACATTTGTCAATCCTAACTTTTATTTATTTATACATCAAATAATTCTCTTTTTATGGTTCACGCAACTGTACACTGGGAAAAGAACAATTTCTGTGAAATAACTGTTTTATACTTGCCTATTTTAACTGCAGACTGACCTTAATGATTAGAACTTTCCTTCTTAATAATAATCTTTTGCTAGGGATAAGTAATACTGGCAAGCATTATTGCCTGCGACACTAGAAAACCGAGTGGGTAGACAAATATGGTTAGCAGAAAATACAGCAAATGCACGGCATAGGAGCACGGCTACTATTACTGCTCTTTCCTGTTTCATTGCACCACCCAGAGACCCTATTACAAACCAGAAAACCCACTGAGCCTATGGCAAACAAGAGCTGAAAACCAAAGTTTTTCATTCAAAACCCCTACACAGAGTTTTTGTAAATTCTACTGCTGTATCTCTTTAAAATTACTAAGTGAAGACACTTAGTGCTACAGATGCTGAAAGTACTATCAGACCTGGACATTTCAGAAATGAAGCATATTCAGCA